TCCTACGCCAACAAACAAACAAACAAATAAACAAACTGAAACTGAGGGACAGCCCTGGAGCCTGGGTGAAAAACCAAGAAAAAGTGACGGCGATGGGAGGGTTCGAAACCGATAATATCCTAGAAAACAAATTGTGGTTTTGCTAACTTAAAGGTAATAAGGGTCATTGTTAGAATTAATTACATTTTAAGTAAAGAAATAACAATAGTTTGCCAAAGAGCAATCCATCTTCTTACACCATTTTATGCTCCTTTTCAGACAGTCGAAATATGTATCGATAAGAAGTAATAATATCTGCTAGGTAGTATATACGATAATAATAATATGGCTTAGTCTTATGAATAGTGCAGAAAAAAATATATAATATATATTATATAAATTGCTTTTATTTTATAATATTATTTAAAGCAGGCATAATTGTTTTTTAGGGAGTTAAACAAATGTATATATTAGCCCGATCAACAAATTACCAATCCAGGGTATTAATAGTTCGCCCAGGGGTCATATCACGGTTGCCTTCTCTTTTTAGGCAACTCAAGCCGATGGTCTTGGCGTCTTATCGCACTGTAAAAACAAAGGCCCTGGAAAAGGGATCATGTAGCTGAGCTCAGATCAGTTCAGTTCAGTTCACTTTGGATCGGTTTAGCTCTGCGGAGATGGCTTGGGCGCAGTGAACCCGAGACACACTTGCAGAGTGTGCTGGGCACAAGTGCAGGGAACCTGGGGATCCGGAGAAAATACGATGGGCAGGGGAAGGTTCAGGGGCCAGGGACCGAGGGCAATTTCTTCGGCAATTATGGGGTGACTGTGATCGTGTCTCGTCTCACAATTTCATGTTAATTTTCGTCTCCGTGGACGGAGCATTTATCGCGCTGTCTTCGGTTTTACGACCCATCATTGTCCTCATCCCTCGATTGTCACCTATTTGGTTGGTTTTGGTGGATTCGCAGCTCCCTTTTATGGGGACCAGTTCGCTCTTTGTCTCTTCGGCTTTTAATATCTCTATAAAATGATTTTTTGGACTGGAGCTAGTTTTACGATCTGTCGCTGCTACCAAAAAGTTATGATTCATTGGCGATCCGAACACCTGCCATCTGAAATTTTCGTCAGGCACTCAGGTGTGACCCATGGCTAATGAGAGGGAAACTAAACCGGATTAGGATCATTGGGGTTGTAGAGCTCATGATTGAGGGTGGAATTGAAAACAAAGAAATATAGGAAGAAACACATTTACAAAGATTGGTATTCGAAAATTATAGTAGATAAGCTCCAGCAGTGATCCATAACCAAAGATCTCAAAAACGTAGTTATAAGGAGGGAATAAAGTGTTAAACATAAAAGTTTTTAGGGATTAAAGTTAAACAATTTAGCCATACACTTACCATTAACTTATTGCTTAACGATGTAACAAAGACATACCCATTTTAAACTTTCAGTTGCTTAATAAATTTCCTACAATATCTTTTCCTTTGTTCAGCCTTGGTAAAAAAAACACTTTGTCGCACAATTTGTATTTAACCTTTTAGGGGAATCCGAAAGATCATTCGAGATACTGTGTAGGATGGCCAACTGTTTGTGTTTTATCATTTAACTGCGGAGATAATTTGCGCAGACATGATTTAAGCATTAAGCGAAGTTCCAGTGGACCATTAACATTCAGGTGTCAATTGGCCGGGCCAATAAGAACCCCGTGGAAAATGTCTGAGGGGTGGGGAAATGCTAAACGATTGGCAGCCTGGCACATTAACAAGAAAGCCAAAGGTGGCCAGCAATCCGCCAGCAAAAGTAAAAGTGATCCTCGGACTACTCCATTTGCCATATTTACATTCCCAGAGACTTGACTCAGTAACTGACGGATCGACTGGGTCAATAGAAACCAGAAGTCGCTGAGGAGGAGACTTGATTGCACTGGAAAAATTAAACAGGCAGCAAAAATTAATATTAAAAACAGAACTCATCAAACAATAAGACAAATAAACAAACAATTGTTCAGATTGTTCCTTGATACATATATATATTTTTTTAGTCAGTCACTATTTAGTTTTTTAAATGCAATAATGTGCAAATATTTTTTTCCAGTGCAGTTATAATTTCCTACTACTGCCGACTTCGACTCAACAAGTTCCGCGCGACTGCTTCCAATTATGGCGAGGATCTGTTTGCAACATACGCCAAAAAGTCAACTGCTTTGGGGCCTGGTCTCAACTGGGTTTGGTTTGGCTTGGTTGGGATCGGTTAGTTGGCTGGTTACTGGGCTTGCTGGCCTACTACTGGTCTTAGACTGCCTGGCGGCTTCCACTCGGACCAAGACAATGCGTGGATGCAGCTCCAAACTGGCCAAACTCGCAGACAAATCGACCAAGTCAGATACATATTTCAAGACATGCTTTAAAGCCATACATGGTGAGCTGTTTTACCCTTTAATATATTTTTTTTTATGGGTCAAGTTTAGGATTAGGTACAATAGAAAATCTATTAATTACTGTACCTTAAACGTATTTAATAATATTTATGAAGAACAGTTTTTTTTATTAAGTTTAAATTTTCCATTTATAAAGATTTACCTGCATTAGAGTATCCCAAGGCTTGCCAATTTTATTTTGACCACTAACTTCACCGACTACTAACTCATGCATTATGCTTAATTATAGTTTATTTATTTAATAAGCCAACTTTTGTGGGCTGTTGCCTGGCCTGGTCCAAGCCCCTGTGATTTGATTTTGCGCTTTAAGTTTTCGCAGCTCTTTGACTAGTTTTTGTGGTTTTTGTGTGCAAACTTTAATTAAATCGTTATGCAAAAGTTCCACTTGTAGTGCTGGTTTTGGCCATATAATTTAGGACTTTATTGGATCAGCAAGTGTATAAGAGATATGGATCAAATATATGCTAAATTCTTGCTTAATATTTTTTCATTTTAATTGTTGATCTTTTTTCTAAATTTAATATATTAAGAAATGTATTTTGGCAAAATAAACATGTGATATTTTTTAATAGGAAACTTAAAAATAATTGTGTTAAATGTTTTAATAGAACTAAACTCTTAAAACAAATGATTATGCTGTTCTATATTATACAATATTATATTTTCAGTGTGGTTTTCTTCAGATTTAAATCTTCTGACATCGATTTGGGTCAAGTGTTTTGTGTGCATCTCGTTTTTCAAGATTCGGGCCTAATTATCTAATTTTCAAATTAACAGCTGAAACTGCGCCACAGGCTAGAAACTTGTGGAATCGACCAGCATCAAACATAATCTGTTTTGGGAACAGTCGCCCCTTCCAAATGATATTCCAATTGTGGGTTGAACTTCGACTGGCCCTTGGTACTTTTACTGATAACTTTTAATTGGATTTTTATTGTAATTCGAGGCGTAAGTCGAGCTTATCAGTCACCATGAGAGAATGTTCAAACGCATTCCATCTGATGCCCATAAAAATAGGGTTAAATAAATTGTGACAGGAAAATAATGTTTACATGGACCTCCGTCGACAGCTGCAACTGTTTTTTGTTTCTTTGCCTGGGGGCCACCTGCGTTTGGATTTCGCACCTCCCGGTAAATGCGTGAATCACTCGGTCCCGCCAACAAGTGAATTAGTCATCATTAGTGAAAAATTACACTAGAAAAGTGTGTCCGAGCTGAAGAAATTCCATTGGCATAAGTCGGCCAGCAAGGCGTTAAAATGGTTTGAAATTATCCCAAGAAAACACGACTTTTCAATACACTTCTCAAATACTTTTAGAAAGATAGTATGACAGTATAATTTTCGAAGATATTGTGACTTTCAAGAATTAACTAGTACTTTGAAAGCTCCTTTAAAACCGTATGACTATAGAAAGTTTATATTTTGTTTATTAAATCATAGCTTTTAGCAAAATATATATTTTTTAACTAAACGATGAAGATTTATTGTTTATTTTTCTTTCATATTTTCAAAAACAGGTTTTTTAAGCAGTTACAAAAAATTAGAAAACATCCAAACACATTTTCAAACATGATATAGGTATACGAACTGCAAGTGCTATTCAGCAGGATTTAGGGTGGAGTATTACTTTGAATCCGCACTTTCCTGAATCTGGCTCTGTACCTCTCAAATGGCTCACCAGATGGTAGATGGGGAGAGTGAGAAAGGGGATCCGAGTAAGAAGAAGCTGGGGACAGAGACTCAAGTTGAAGTGCAGCCCGAAATGCTGCGGCGCATGCGCAACGAAGCCGATGTCGGCTTATTTATGGCCTTTGGTTTGGGGCTTTGGTTCTTTATTTTCTCTGTTGGTTTTCATTTTTTCTTTTCTTTTATTTTTACATTTTGCCTTAGGTTCATTGGCTCTCGGGGCTTGTCTTTTGTTAAAATGCATTTATGGTCTTATTTCGTTGTAGTTCCTCCTCGGCTGCCCTTTCAGCCCAAGAGTGTGTGCCGGGCAGTATTTTTTATATTTATTTTCTTTATTATTGTGTGCGCAGAAGACGAAGGAAAATTTCACAAGGCGTCGCCAGTTTGTCTGGCGTGTCTGCCATGGCTTATCTTGCCTCTCTTTCTGATCGCTCTTTCAATTTGAGCAGTGCTACCAAAACAGCTACTTTCCCGACGGATCCAAAATCTATGAGGCTACAGACCAAAAAAAAGTACCCACCAATATTTTCAAGGCAAACCTTTTAATGCTTTGAATTGGTTTTTTCAGGAACTGTAGAAGTTATCACTTTTAAAAGTCATCTTAAATGGGATTATGCATTATATGAATTTCTTTTTTCAGTAACTATAAGAGCATTTTAATACCATCTTAAATAAGACAATTTAACCTTTTTATTTTATATATTTTTATTTGTTTTACTTTATTATTAAACATAAATGCCATATTTCAATTTTATATATTTATGTTTATCTGGTTAGAAAAAACTAAATAAAAGTCGTTACATTTATCTCCGCTACATTCTTCTTTGATGTATAGTAATTATTGTTGTGGAGTTGTGTAGCTGTGTACTTATTCTTGTTGTTGATTTTTACAACACTTTTAAAACAATTGAGCCAAAAGATCGAAAAATTGAAAAGAGTTGTGTCCTTCAATGCGCAGCACATCGCCAGTCAAGTTCTGAAAATTATTAAAGTGAAATATTTATTCATTTTGTATTTATTTATTTTTGGTTAAAAGCACTGTGTTACAACAAAAGTGTATTACAAGAATTTTATTGGCTTTATTCTGCAATCCCCGAATGTGAATACGAAAATGCTGCCCTACATCAGGACCCCAAAATTATATTTTCCATTTTGTAACACATTTTAGTTATTCAAAAATTTTTATACAACAATAGAGATATATTTTAATTTTGAATATGGTGAATCAGAAATTGTTTAGGTGATTCGTATTCCAAGTTTGATGTTTTAACTTACATCGCTCACAGCTCCGAATTCAGAACCGACTTTGATTACTAAGGGATTATGTGGCTGAACGCCATTCTTCGATAGAATGGCGACAGCCGGCATTACCAAAGTCCTGTTGATCAGGCGGCAACCAAAGATATCAAGTCGACGCAGCTTCTCGCAACGGTTCAGCAACAGGAGGATGCCGCAATTGGTGATGTTGGAGGAGTTTTGCAGGCTAAGGTCCTCCAGTTGCTGCAACCGAGTGATAAACGGATCGATGTATAAATCGCTTTTCAACTGACACTCAAGCCTCTTCAGGGCCTTCAACTTAGATATGGTTTCGGCCTCATTCCAGTCGATACATCGAAGGGTTTCTGGACAAAAACGCAGAGACTCCAAGGTTGCACCGTACTTGGTTACTGTATTCCCAAGTATTTGATTGAGTTTAAAACGGAAAATAGTGTTATCTATAGTCAAGAATTTCAGAGTCGGCAAATAAGGCAATGGCGAGTAGAAGATACCGTAACCAATTCTCAGTAATTCTATCTTGGGCCACAACTGGTCTTGGTCAAGATTATTGGGAATTCGGATGTCGCCGTAATGTATCACCAACGAATCCATATTTTTCATGGATGAACAAACTTTATAAATATCAACTGGCTCCGTCTTTTTGTTATTGAATATGGACAGGTTCTCCAGGTTTACAAGTTCCTTAAGTCTTTCCACTGAAATAAATAATATTTATTATCTTTCAAAATCCGTCAGGTAAAGAAGTCTGAGTTTTAACTTTAATTAAATAAAAACAAATATTTGGTTAGGTTAAAAAAAAATCATATTAAATAAAAGTACAACCAGTCCCAGAGTTTTAGATACATACATTCATATGTAGTTTCTATACTTTTGATTTGCCGTTACAGTATCCTTAAAATAAAAATAGTTTTTGGAAATGTCAAATTTTAAAAAGCAAGAACTATATATATTGTTTCTTAATTTAACAGTTAATTTACCGTTTGTTTATTTTTTAACCAACAATATTTTCTTTGTGTGTATATAAATGCTCTTCAAAAGGACACCGTTTCCCAGAACTTTTTAGATTGTGAAGAATTCAGATAAATTATGTTTCGCTTAAAAATTGGGAAAAATCTTTATAATTATGAATTTCTATCAACTAAAGTTTATAAATCAAAGATTCTGGTAAATATGAAAACATGTTTTTCAGTAACGTTAACAGAAAATTTAAAAAAAGTTCACGTTTCTTTGTTAATTTTGTTTATTTTATGTATGTATGTAATGTGTAGGACTTACTATCTTGACGGTTGAACTTAACCAATTGCAAGTTATTTAGTTTGGGCAACTTCAGCATAGTGTCGACCACATTTACTCTATCAAAATTGTTACTGAATCCGACCCATTTTAGATTTTGCAAGGTCGACAGAAGTGGAGAAATATGATTCCAAAAATGGCTGCGGACGGGAATGAAAAACTCCTCCAGATTGGGACAGAACATCGAAGCCAATTTGGTCACAACCACTGTTTGTCCCACCGTAGTGCTTGAGATTCTAGAAACGGAGGATCCACAGAACGACAAAATTTTTGACCACTCGATAGCTGGGCGTTGCTCGAAATCTATTTTCTTGTAAGTGTTCCCAGCTTGGAATGCAAAAGCCTTTCCCAGAACTGGATGGGCTTCGGCCAAATTAAGTTTATCCTTGATATTAAACAGATCCTTAAAAATTAAGGCAAGCACTTCCACCGGCAAATTTAAAATATTACAAGCAGCCGCCATTATTTGCAACGTAAGCTTTATCTCGAAACGACCAATACTCTTTGACAGCCACAAGTGAACTTATAAGCAGTGATATTAGAATGGATATATATATAACTTTATATCGATATTGACACAAAGCTAAAATTATCGATATGGTATGTTTCATACATTTCATTGCTGGCAATTTAGCTATTTTCCCACTTTATATAACGTTCTTCCATTAACAAAATTGTAACATATTTTACTAGCAATTCTATGAGCGAAGAGTTGGCAACACATCTTGATCCGCATAAACAGCCAAATCGATCTGGCCATGTATACTCTTTTCTAGCTGTTTGTTGTTCCTAATTACATATATTGTATTTAAGATTTCAGAATTATAGATAAATATTATTTTAAATTGGACGATTTAGCTTTAAGGGTATATAAACTTAGACTTTCTCATTTGTTATACTAAAAACTTTCAAAATCGTACACATATTTGTATGAAAATTTTAAATATCTTCTTTGTGTTATAAATTCATCGGGGGAATAATAGGGGAAATGAATGTCATAAACTTATCGATACTTTTGTTTATTCCGGTGCGAAAATGGGACTTCCCAGAAATGTTTCTTCGGAAACGTATGTACAATGTACATATACGTACAATAATATGTACATATGTATGTATGTATGTATACACTGTAAGCGTAAATTGTATTCATCGGGGGAATAATAGGGGAAATTAATGTCACAAACTTATCGATACTATCGTTTACGCCGGTGCGAAAATGGGACTTCCCAGAAATGTTTCTTCGGAATACGTACAATTATATGTACATATGTATGTATGTATGTATGTATGTATACACTGTAAGCGTAAATTGGACCTTTCATCGATCGTATTGAGCAGGTTTAACAACGCTACTCGATCTAATCAAATTTTACGCAGCATTGATCACCCCAAAGATTGGACCCTTCTACATTGGCAAATGTTGCCGTTCCATAACCCTTCGACGGCCTGCTCGCCAGATTTAAATGGAAATTCTCACGTTTTTTGGATCTGCTAAAGTGGAGGGATGTTGAAGTGATAGGAGTGGATCATTTTCACACGCCTCTATTTTTCATGCGTTCTGCTTTCGCGCCTACTGCCAATTACATTCGTGCAACTGTCAGCCGTTCAATGACAATGACAGCATAGGGTTAAGTCCTGTTCCCCTTTCCTATCAACGACCTTATTTCTGTACATTTGTATACAACATCAGCGATTTTCTCTTTTATAATTATGCGATATCGGGACTAGGCCTGCACCGGCAGAAATTTTTAGTATAATATTTACAACAAAATATTTAGGATCTCTAGAATCTGCATGCCTTATTTCAACTTTCTAGCTTTTATCGATTCCGAGATCTCAGCGTTCATACGGACGGACGGACAGAAGGACACGGCTAGATCGACTCGGCTAGTGATTCTGATCAAGAATATACACATATATACTTATTGGGATAAGGAACGTATCCATCTACCTGTTACATACTTTCTGTCGAATTGAATATACCCTTTTACTCTACGAGTAATGGGTATACAAAGTGTAAAATAGTTTTTAAAAACCTTCTAATATTTATCTGTTACCCCAACATGGCTGTTTCAAGAAAAGCACTTACTTTACAAACCAAAACTGTCTTTTGTGCTTAAGGCCAAAAGACTCCATACTTTTTTCTCAGTGAGCTGCAAACAAGCAGAGCCCAGTTCATCCATATGCAACCATTATGTGAGGGAGATCAATTCAACAGGGCTCCTCCTTCAGTTCCCTCGATCCGATCTGCATAGGCTGCAGAAAAGAGAAGCAGCGATTTGTACAGGTTATCCTGGCCCGGGCATACTATACATATAATGATCGTGGCTGATCGCATTCGGATCTGCTTTTGTGCCTCACGCAATTTGTGCGCTGAATAATGCCGAGCATCGCTATCAATTGCCTGACCCCTAATAACGAATTCGTGCCCAACTTAATTGCAGACATATTGATGAGGCCCGGGGATAATCCTCGGGACCCTTCCCCCTCCCGAGTTTAGTTCTCTTTTTGCCATTTGCGTGTCATTTTCTAAGTAGAATTGGCATTTCTTTTATCTCCGTGGAGATCAGATCAGATATCAAAAAAGGTACAGGGGCCGCAACAATTGAGAGTAAAAGTAAATGTTGTTGATCCATATCAGACATCCCAGTCCCTTTCGGAGATCGTGATCACTTGTTTGTTTAAGTTCTTAGCAGGTTCATCGTCATCGAAATGTTTCTGGTTCGTTGATTTAAGAAAATATTAAATCCTTTTGTTTGCCTCGCCAACAGGTGGAGGATCGTCTCTCGTCCCGTCTCTTTTTCGCCGGCTGTGTGCTAATTGGATTATGTATTTTTTAATGATCCCTCGGGGATGTCGGGTGTTAATCACTTAAGCATCCAGCATACAGATCGCCATATTCTGCGGTTGTGCGATCAACAACGCCGAAAAAGGGAAAGTCTGGTAAATGGGTCAAGTATGCCTGGTTGAAGGGATTACTTCCCTCATCTTGAATCGTATGGTTGGATTGAGCCCAAAACAAAGCATAAATGTAAATGCATTTTAGGGCTCTCTATCAAATGCGTGCTTACCTAAACATTGTTCGCGAAATCTTGTACCCTTTTCAATCTTTTCTGAAACTTTGATTTGTATGTACAATATTTAGGTTCATATAAGAGATTTTTTGTGAGAAAGTATGGCTCAAAATGATTTCTTAGTTGTATCACTTGATTATTACAAAGGATTGTCAAAAATATCAAAATAAGAAAGCATATCCAATGTTTAGATAGGATCAAAACTAAGTTTTAAACGAGTTTAATTACATTGTTTAAAACCCTTCAAGTCATCTTCCGAAGTACAGGCGTAACTCTTGATTTTAATGGCCGGAAGCTAGCCGAAACATCGCATTGTTCTCATAGATCAAAAGTCTTGGCTCCCTCCAATTAAAAAATCGATACATGAGAGTAGCTCCAAATGATATTTGTACAATTCGTTAAGCAATTTAATTCTCACACTTTGCTGATTTTTCCACATTTTCTTAAATAAACAAAACGACGAAACCTCACCTGGGTGCGGCCCCTTCTTGAAGACGTTGAAAATCGGGGTTCCCAACTCCCCCACAAGTGCTCAGAATGGCGTGAAAACGCTTGTAGTTGGTGGGCATTATTCTCATTTATTCTCGAATGCACAAGACGGGGTTTTCTTAGGAGGGTTGCCAAGACACAGAAAATAAATAAAGAATAGTATCGAACAAATTAATTTACTTTTGCCATGGAAGAGTGCGCAGGCGCAGGTTGTTCTTTGGTTTTTTTTTATTTCGGGTGTGTTTAACCACAGAGTTTTGTCTCCGGGGAAAATATGATTTAATATGATGTCTTTGATTTTATTGTCTGAGAGCTAAGCGTTCCCAATGAGTTTCTACCTTCGTTTTGCACCATTGCACATTGGTCGAGCTTCAGCGATCATCAAATTTATGCGATGCAACTTGAAGAACTTGTAGCTTAAACACATTTAGATTATTCATATAAATGTTGGACCCTGCGTGGGAATTTTCGTGTAGTACTTTCTTATTAATTAAGAAACTCGATCTTGCGGAACTTGTAAGCAATTATGGTGCTTATTCATTAAGAACTCATAGAATGCTAGAGTAAAGAGTTCTTGAATTTGTAATTGCCATTTTTTATATAAACTTTTTTTGATAAATTAATATCGCATATTTGTGTTATTTTTAGGATGGCTAACAAAAGAGCTAACATTTTCAAGTCCTATTTGATTTTGTTCTTTATATTTTCGTATTGAATTTCAAAGATAAACGCACTTCAACGTGTCGTACTCGTCAATTTTTTAATGCATTTTATGGGTTTTAAACTGCAAACGCCAACAGCTGGAAGGGGAATTCTCCGGCGTGGAGGGCAAAGCACTTGAGAGTCTAAATATTCCTGGAACGCACGTGTTGCCCAAGTGTTAAAAATGCATTTGTGGAATATAAATCAGGGCAGGCAAAGGGGGCAGCAACGGCGGGCCTCGTCACCCAAGTTGAAACTAATTTTATGCATGACTTTTTACACATTCCAGCAATATTTACCCTGACAGCCACTCCAGCATAGTTGGACAGTTTTTACTTTTGTTTCACGGTCTCGCCAAGACATTCCTGCAGTTTTCCCTTTTCCCTGTTTTTTTTTTTTTTGTTTTGGGTGTGAGGCATTTTATGCACAGTTAAGTTAATCTGCCCTAAGAAGAGTACTTAGCAATCCACAGGCATGTGTCATCTTCTCACTTTCCTCGGCCTCTGACACATGAGACGCCGTCGTCTCCTGGTTTCTGTTTCTGTTTCTGGCTCTTTTGGTCCGTGCCACATAAATACCAATGCCCACTTGAGGCAGGGTCCTCGAAATGACATTGCTGGCGGCATTAGGCTCCGAATTCCGCACCATTTGGATTTGGCATATGCCACGCAGATCATCAATCCGTTGGTCTCGGCTTTTTACCGCAGCAGGTGGCAGCAATAAACATCACTTGTGTCTTAAAAGGTTACCTAATTTCTAGTTTTCCAAATCGGTAAATACTATCTTTTATAGAAATACCGAAAAATCAGTTGATCTTTAACACATTATTATTAATTTTTGTAACTTTAAAACTCATAATTTCTCTCACTAATAGATTTACACCCAATATTGTCAAATTATTTAGATATATATAGAATTTTCTGAACCTGAAATTTCGTTTGATAGTATGTTATCTTATGCCATCACATTAAATAATAAAATTTTAGAAAACGAAGGCTCACAATTTTTCATTATTTTATATTTTTTATGCTGTTTAAGTATGCTGTATTTCATTTCATTTTACATTTCTTTCAACTTCATGTATGCTTCCCAACTGGGAAACTTTCTTGAGATCAGCCCAAGTCTTATCCTCTCCACCTTTTTCGTAATAAATTACCCCCAACAACTGCAGTGAAAACAACGAAAAGGCATTTCAATGCATCCACCTGATGACTGCCCGGGCATCCAACTAATGACACATAAAT